CCCCCCCAGCACAGCCCCCTTACCCATGTACTGCAGGGTGCCACAGATCGTGTGGGCTCGCTCGCCCCACTGCAGGTACCGGGAGAGGCCGAAGTCGGTGAGCTTGAGGTGTCCTGTGGGGCCAGACACCTCATGGGAACCCATGGAGAGGATGTCCCCGTGGATGGGATGTTCCCACAGATGGGGTGTCCCCAAGGCAGTGCCACCAGGCTCTTACCTCTCTCATCCAGGAGGATGTTCTCCATCTGAAATGAGAAAGGCACTGAGGTGGCCTCTCCATGCGGGGGTTCAGAGACCCCCACCCCATCCTCCAGCCCCCCCAACCCCGCTGCCACCCACCTTGACATCTCTGTGCATGATGCCCAGGTCGTGGAGGTACACTGGGGACAAGACAGAGCCATGAGCGCCGTGTGTCCCCTCCCAGCACAGCCACCCCTGGGGGTGCCTGACCCTGCCTGCAGTGCCCATTGGTGGGGACACTGGTGGCTGTCCCCAAAGCGGGGGTCACTCACCCAGCACCAGCACCAGCTCGGCGGCGAACAGGCGGACGGTGGCCTCGGCCAAGCAGCCGGCCGCGCGCCACAGCGCGTGCAGGTCCCCGGTGCTGCAGTAGGTGCACACTGTGGGGACAGGTGACGTGCCTGGGTTGGCACGAGGGACACCGGGGTGGCACAGGCACAGGGGTGCAGGGGATGCCATGCACTCAGGTGATGGAAGCACTGGGGTTATAAAGGCAGCGAGGTGGCACAAGCACCGGGGCAATACGGGCACCAGGTGACATAGATAAGGGTCRGGTGACATGGGAACACGCCAGTACCAGGGTGACATGGGCACCAGAGCGGTGTGGGCGGGCACTGGGAACACACAAACACCCGGGGCCACATGCGGTGCCAAAGTGACGTGATCCTTGCGGGTCACACAGGCACTGGGAACACACAGACTGCAGGGACACAGGTGACACAGGTGACACAGCCCTCAGGGCCGGGCAGGCGCCAGCGCTGGGGTGCTCTGTTCACCCCCACACCGCTCCCKGCCCCGCTGCGGCTTGTCCCCGTGCCTGTCCCCGCTCGCCATCCCCGCGGCGGCTGCGGGAGGCGGGAGACGGGAGCCGGGAACCGAAGCGCCCGGAGCCCCACGGGGCAGCGGGGGGAGCGCTCGCGTGTGCGGGGACACGTGTGCGGGCGGCGGGGACACGTGCGCGGGCAGGGGGGGCCGGGGCGAGCCCGCGGGCAGATGGTCACTCACTGATGAAGAGGTGGCGCTGGCCCTGCCAGCTGTCCCCCAGCCCGTGGACGAACGGGTGTCTGACCTGTCTCTGGGGACACAAAAGCAGAGAGAGGGTGAGCGGCCCCCGGCGTAGGGGGCCACGGGGGGACCGGGGACCCCGCTTCTTCCATCCGCAGCTCCCACGGCCTCCTGAGGTCCCCACGGCCACCCCAAACCCCTTCACTGCCTGGGGTCCCTGCTGCCCCCCCTCCTCCCTAACCTGGATGCTGACTTCTTCTTTGCACTGTTTGAGGGTGTCACGGCGCAGCACCTCCACTTTGGGCACGACCTGGGGGGTGAGGCACTGTCAAGGGGGGGACAAGGGGGAGGTGGGGGCACCCGTGAGAGCCGGGGGCCAGCACCCACCTTGACGGCGCAGACCTTCTCCCGCCCACAGTCCAGCACTTTGAGGATGGTCCCGAAGGAACCTTTGGCCACGAAGCCCAGGATCTGCGGGGAAGAACAGGGTCTGAGCGCTCTGTGGAGATGGGTTTGGGGTGCTCAGGCTGGGGGTCCTGCGTGGGGTAAGGTGAGGAGCGCAGAGTACCCAAGACAGACGGTGGGGACACATGGGGACCCGGAGGACACAATAAGGACGCCAGCGGGATACATGGGGACCCGGTATGGGGCACAGGGACACGGGGGGCTGGGACACGGGGACCGCAGCACGGCAGGGGTGGATGTTGACACTCTCGAACCCCGGGAGTACACGCGGGACGCCACGCTCCGGTGGGGTGCAGAGGAACCCCGGTAGAACACACAGAAACCCGACACGGGCACCCGGCGGGGATGGAAGGGGRCCCGGTGGGGCTGCCGGGGACGCCGGTAGGATGCGCAGGGACGCGGCAGAGCGTGCGAGGAGAGCTCGGTAAGGYGGTCGGCGACGCCGGGATGGCGGCACGGGGTGCACGGACGGCGCGGGAGGGTGCTCAGGGCGCTGGGGGACCCCGGTAGGAACGTGCAGGAACCCCGGTAGGACGAGCAGGGACACCGGTACAGGGTACGAGGGGACCGGTAAGGATGCCCGGGGCTGCCGGGGCGGGATGCGCGGGCGCCCCGGGAGGACGATCGGGGACCCCGTTCGGATGCACCGGGACCCCGTTCGGAGGGTGGGGACCCCGGGACGGCACCTTGAGCTGCTGCTGGCGGGCGGAGGGGCGGACGGGGAACTCCGGCAGGAACAACGAGACGAGCTGCGGCAGCGGCCACCCGGGCAGSGGCGCCTCCTCGGCGGGGCCCCGCGGCGCCAAGGCGAGCCCCGGTACCGGCACCGGTACCGATACCGGCACCGATCCTGCTCGGCTCAACAGCGCCCGCACCCACGACCCCACGGCGCGGCCCTGCGGAACCGGGGACAGCGTCAGCGAGGGGACCCCGGGGCGGGGGATGCCCAGGGGGATCCCCGGGGTTGATGCCACCGCACGCACCTGGGGGGGCCGCACCGGAGCCGGGGCCGGGCCGGGGCCGCTGC